GCCCACATCCCATATAACGGTAATTTAGAAAAATACGAAATCCTCGATAAATCAGTAAATATTAAAGCTAATTTATTCAAAATTGATGGTTGCAACAATTCTTTACCAAGAAATACGTTTATGATAAAATTTTGGAAAATGGGCGTGGCACCGCCCAATTATGATCACATATATGTATCTCAGTAACCGTTCCACCAATTTGTACCAAACTCGGTACGGTTATTGTGCTTGCCACATAGAAGCAAACCGTTGAAAATTGTTGAAATCGGACTAAAATTACGGCCGCTTTTCATATAACGGTAAATTTCAGAAATGCTTGAAATTTCGATATTTCGAAATTTAAGGACGCTAATTTACTTAAAATTTATACCCCGGCTTATCATGTATCGGTAGCTTTCGAAAAGGTGGAAAACATATATTTAATACTTGCGCCGGGTATTTAATGTTCGGCTCCGCCCGAACTTGACTTTCTTACTTGTTTTTAAATACGATTTTTACTTACAATTTCATTCAAAGTAATCAACAACTTTCTCCTCCAATTTTTCCTTTAACAAAGAATACCACTTTTTCTTCGATTTTTTTTCAATCTCGAGTACCTTTTATTTTCACTTGGCGTTTTTTCTTGCTTAGCAGGTATAATTATTGTTAAAGATTTTTCAAATTTTACTGAATAAATATTTTTTAGCGCTAAGAAAAAATATACAAATACAATGTTTTATATTTCAATATACATATATGTAATTTGTATGCGCTATGAGATTTTAAATACGATATTAAAGGGTAATTCATTTTATTTATTGTTTAATGTTTTATTTTTTTTGTTTTTTGTTACTAATGCGCAAATCTTTTGTAATACATAAAAAAAATTTACGACGTGAAATGAGTTTTGGCTTGTTGTTAAAAAAATAAAATTTAGTAGCACTAAAAAATACATCTTACATTGAGAATGCACATAAAAATTTACCATCAAACTGGAATTACGCTTCTAGAAGTATTCAGCGGAACATTCAAGGGCTTGTTGCTTTTATTTTTAATCTGTTCAACACTTTATAAGTAAGGGATATTTGTTTCATGTGCAATATTTGTAATTCAGCAATCTTTTATTCAACTTTTAATTTGAAAAATTTCAAAGTTTTGCTTTTTATTAATAAATACTAACAGATGTATGCTGGCAAGTATATCTAAGAAATTCTTTAAAGCTACAAATGGATAAAATAAAGAAAGAGGCAACAATTTAAAAAAGGCATTTCAATGTTTCATTGAAAAAAAATCGCTTTCAAGCTACATTTAAACTACGGAAAATTGCAGCTATACATACATACATACATATATACAAAGTGCTCAAAATTAAATGTGAATGACTGCGGCCTTTTCAAAAGCCACTTCTTCTACTCAGTTCTTCCCAAAATAAACAAGCTTTGGGTTTATCACGTATGTTGTTTTAATAATACAATGCAATTTTTTCGACGAATATGACCACATGTTGAAAATAAATGAAACATTTAAACTAGAACAAAATGAATATAACAATTCATGTCATAAATAATTTTCTTAGAAATTAAAATTAACATTTTCTTAAATATAAAATCGCACCTACAGCGCTCATCTACTATTTACTTATTTTTCTTTCAATCGTCTGTCTTTCATTTGGGTTTATTTGCAGTTAGCATACATCTGTGCTATATTGCAAATATGCGATATATTTTAAATTCATGTACGAATATTTTAATTACTATTCGAGTATTTTATATACAAACATTTTCAATTGCATTGAAATCATACAAAAAAAAATATTTTTTCAATACTAAACATACTATTTAACGTTCATTTTCTTAATTATGAACGGCGCTTTAGCGAAGCGCAGCCTTGTTTTCGCCTAATTTTACAGCATAATACATTTTAAATTTACTTTTCGTACTACAACTATGTTTAATAATGTAGTGACCGATACTCGACTTTAACTTAGATGGGGAAATATTTTTTTTAATAAATATGCTTTCTATAGTTGCCCTTAAGCTTTGTTCATACATATGCTTATTCGATACTGGTTATAAACTGCATTTTATCGTAGTTGGCTCACTCTTTATTAGCGTCGTCTTTTGGATAGCGGTTTACTCTACAGCATACATTAGGTGTTTAAATTGAATTTTATACTTTTACTTAATCCCTCGATTACTTGCGTAAGTAAACATGTGGGCTGCTGCGGTTGCCGACTTGATTAAGTACAACAATGATAGGCGTGTCCGCCATTCTTCATAGTGTACTCATTATGCGCCAAGGGGCCACTTTTGCTATAACTGCTGTGCACCTGAGCGGATTCGAGTGAGTTTTGTATGGATTTGCAGGAGAATTGGCGATGATTGGTTGCGTCCTAGATAAGAGGTGAGAGTGAGAAAAAGTTTATAACAATCGTATGCTACTGGGATGTCAATAACATTTTTTGTTAATTATGAACAACTTGAAAACCCTTGACCTTTTTACGATCACTTCGTTAAATGCACTCACCTTTGGTTGTATGGGAAAGCAACACCAGAGTATAAAAGCTATAAACGCCACCAGCGTACCCACCAGTAGTATGAAATCCTCAATCGTCTGCCAAATGCCGCACACAACACCGAAGATGCAACAGCAGCACCGCAACGTTTGGAAAATTCAATAAATGCATGCAATTAGTTGAGTGAAATATTACTATTTCAAGGAAAAGCAGGGGCTACTTACCGGCTCGTCTCCCAGCAATACATGATTAATCAGATATGCAAAATCATCGAAAGGCGTCATTTTTGCAGCTAAAACTTTTTTCTCCGCTTCCTCGCTTTTGTCCTATTCTATTCAACAGTGTTTACTTTTGTTTTAGCAAATGGCAAATGATAATTATATGTAACCTTCACGCCCCCCAGTTAACCTATGCGCTAGGGTTTTTGATAATTTTCAGCAATTACAACACACTTGCCGGTATGTATGTATATGAACTTTGCAACACAAATTGTACTTTCAATAAAATTACTTTTACCACAACTGCACTTAATTGAAATAAGGAGGGCATTCGTTTTTATTTTTAAGCTCACGAATATACGTTTGCACCGACACTTTTCTGCATTTACTTTTATAACATATAGCAGTCCTTTTGGGTGGATGGGTTAATTTGATGCAACCCACTTTGTTTTGTATTTTGGGTGGAGGACAATTGCAGCTGTTTTTTGACAGCACCTCGGAAACCAAACCAAGGCGAATTTTCACAAGGTGGGATCGTTTGAGCAAAAAAAAAAATTAAAACACCAAATTATACGCGCAATGACGGCAAGAAATATCCAAAAATACAACAAATACATCGTTTTGACATTACGGCAACTTTTTGCGATTTGCGGTTATACGGTGTTCACATTGGGTAATTTTGCAAGCAATATTTGAGGCGATAAGTTGAATCAGAAGTTGGCCGCACTCCAACTTCATTGGAAGCGATTAGTTGAAAGGCCGTTCACACCAGGCGATTGTTACTTTCAACTAAAGAACAAAATACACAAGCTGCTTGACAAACCAAGCGAAATATCCCTTGGCTTTAATCCATGTGTGTTGTCTATCAGCTCAACCTAATATTACCGGCATGAGTTTTTCTACGCACACACGCAATCACATTTGCACACGTTAATCACATTTGATTAACAAGAACTAATTTGCATGCGTAATTTCTCAGATTTTTATTCCTGCTAAATTTACAGCAGTTTGTTGCCCAAAATTTTAATTCATGGTCGCGCCAAAATGTCAATCAAGCATAAACGTCAAATCGAAATGTCACGGAAGACAAATCTTGGAATTTAAGTTAGCTTCTTACGCACGCCGTTCAATTTCGGTTAGTCTCATACTAGTTGTACATATGGGCATGAAAATTGTTGACAGTAAACTGCCGGGGTGCGTGAATATTAGGTTGGCCTGTATTGGGGTGTTTGAAGGTTTGACAACTCGCTTGAGGGAATTTTGTGCAAAAATCAAAATTTTTTGATTTTCTGGCCCCATTTTGACGTTTGAATAAACCGCTTGCGATGTGGATGGTAAAATCGCTTCGTTTGCAACGGAATTTTCTCCGAGTGATTACATAACCCCACGTCTCCGCCTTCTACAGATTCTGTTAAAAAGGCTGTGGTAAGACAGAAATGTCAGGTGGAGACCGTAAATTTCCACTGTTAAACCATATCTGTCTTGCCGAATTTCTTACCATCGCTGTCTTAACATCAGCTGTCATTTCGTAGTTTGACAACTCAGTTTTCATTTTACCACGCCATCTACATTGGGTACAGACTAGAGATGGACACGGGCCTAAATTTTCAAGCCCGGCCCGGCACGACGGGAGCCAACTTCTATTGTATGTATACGTATGTACATATTTTTAATTTTGTGTCTATGAATGTATATTTACTTAAGCGAATCAATTTTTTACACCAAAGATTTGTATAATAAGGGTTCTCCTTCATGTCCGAACCGTTCTCATCTGAAGTGATGCTACATGAATTTGAAAAATTGAAAGGGAAGTTGGAGCTTAGAGCGTAAGAAAAAGACCAACGAAAATTTGTGTTTTTCATGGAAATTTCTTCACTTTGATTCAATGGGATACCTGGAATTGCCAAGTGCAAGCAATTGTAAGCCAACATGGTTGCATTTTTCAACCCCAGCTATCAATCGGAGAGCCTATTCACCACTCTAGCTGATAACCGGTTCACGGTTAGCTTATTTCACCTTTCACCACTTTACCCCAGAGCTCCACAGGCAAACACCAATGGCGTACCAACTGTCATCTTGACCAGCAATATGATTGCAAGTTTTTGTGTTTGGACACTTTGTTGTCTTGATATAAGTATTTTTCGCATGACGCCACCAGACAACATTCTCTCAATCTAGTGTTTAAATACCTTTAAATCTTAAAAAACTTGCTGAATAATTCCTTAAAACTTAATCATAAATAATTCAATAGGGAACAGATTCATATTTTGATTTAATATCAAAATTTCAGCGGTGTTACCACCAGCAAGGCCCCACCAGATAGATATTCTCTTCTACGTCACAGGGTTGCTTTTGGCTGACATCGAAGTTAACTCTGAGATTTTGAATAGAAGGGGCTACATTGGCAACGCATACACTGTCGCAACTGATAAAAATCCCCCAACTCTCAACTTTTGACGCGCGACAAAACAATAATGTATGCAACAAATACGAACCAGCTGGCAGAAACTAATTTCTATTTGGCGGGACCTTTATGGGATCTGTCTGTTGACGAAAACTCACCACTGCATGACCACCGTGACGTGGACGTGGTTTCTCTCTACGTATCAACAGCAAATTTGCTATGTTTCTATACACTTCTACGGTGTCTGCTTTTAGGTACCTTTATCCACTTTAGGTATAAAGCCATCAAAGTGGTGTTTTCTCATTCCCTCCAAAGCTTTGCCAGCGTATGCAGAAATGTAGCATATAGCCAGTCCACTGCAATGTGGATTGCATTCAAATAGGATTGCCGTGTTTCATAAAAAAAGTATAAAACTATTTACAATATATTTTGAGCACAAGCAGAAACAGCCTTAGATAATTGATGAAATGTAAAGATACAATTAAGTATAGAAATTTGAAATATAAGCACGTTACGCAGTACAATTGCCATTCAAAGTTTTTCAAATAACACAAGCGGCGGTACAACCCATAAGCAACCATGCGTCCGAAATTTTCTAGTTCCACTCTGGTAATTGCTGAACTGAAAAGCGTAATCAGTTCATTTCATTCGCTCACTCGTTCGTCGCCTTTGCTTTTGCCATTGTCGTCGTCCGTTGTCCCGCTCGTTTTTCGTGGAAGAAGAAGAAGACAAGCAAGAGCAAAGGAGAATCTTCTTTTCTTTTGTGTGTGTCGTGTGTAAATTCAATACAAAAAATTTTCACTAGCCCAAGCTAAAAAAGAATTGTGGTTTAGTGCTTTAAAAATTGTTAAAAAAATGCGGAAAAAGGTAACGCAAGTGCTATTGATGAATATGAGTGAGCCTCATGTGTAAATCTACACAATTTGTTGGTGGAAAGTAAAATATTTTGTGGCCATTTGCAAGTGCGGTGTCCGTCGTCCCGCAAAGCGCCGCCCGCGCCCAGTGTCTGTGTATGTTCGCGCGAGTGTGTGCCGTAGCCGTTGGAGCGTCGTCGTCGTCATTGTCGCCGCCTATATAAAATTGAGACAGGCGGACGGACTTTTCGTCGTTTGGGTCTACTCCTGAACCTATATGTGTGTGTTTGTTTAAGTACTATATAGATTTGATGACGCCGGCGATTCGCAAATGAGAAAAAAAAATTATCCAAAAATATCGTGGCCGCAGAACTTTTAAGCGCCAAGCGCTATGGAGCTTGCTGTCGGTAGCAGCAGTGAAAAATTTTAGGCGATACGAAGTCGCTGTACCGCTGAATGGACGACGCCAGTGACGCGGGCCAATACCCAGCTAACAGCGACTCGACAACAACGAACCAACTGCCCTCTGGCCGGGAAAACAAAAAGGTGCGCTAAATAAGCTAAGAAATTCATAAACAGATAAAGTTGCTTGTAGAATTAACTTTTAACGATCTACTCGATCCATTTCCATAAAAGACGCATGAAAGTCTCAGAAAATTGAGATGAAAATATTTTTTCTGGGTGTAGCGACGGCGGCTGTCGTTGTGGCAGATATTCGCTGCTGCGGTTGACGTCGCGGTAGCAGTCGAACCCTGAACCAAGTAAGCGAAATAATAAGAAAATGGAATCGTAGAAATAGGGAATAAAGATGTAGAGAATGGAGCGCCTGCCAAAGGAAGAAGTGAGAAAAACTGTGCAGACGCGTCGCGCAGAGCGAAAGAATACGACGCTACTGCTACGGTTCGCGCAATGCAGACGTCATATCGTGAGAATGAGAGTGCGAGAGATAGATGGTCCGCAGAGAGCACATGGCCATGAGGAGCACAAAATGACTATGTATTGGTCGTAGTGTTGCCAAAATTTTTTCAGAGAAATGGGCAAAAAAATAAAGCCTACAAAAAGCTAAATCAAAATTTTAGTTATAGCTAAATTAACAAATCAAATCTTTTTGGTAGTTATAACTTCATAACAACTTATTTTGTACTTATGTAGATATTTTTCGTAGCCTCACAAAATTATCGCAACTTTACCCTGGACGTGCTTTGTTAGTCGAAAAACCTTTTTAGAACGCTTTTTTCCTAAATTTTTTGCTATATGTAATCATAAAACTTAATAATAAAAAAACTAGAAATAATAACCATAAAATGCATTTACCTTTTTATTTAATATTTAAATTCAAAGTTGGTGTTAGTCAATTCGACTAACAAGCCCGCAGACAGGGTCAAAAGAGCGATGCACTTCCAGGGTTAAGACAATGGGTCGATTCGAACTCATTGCGTTAAAACAATACTTTAGTATCCCCAATAAACTTACTAAAGAAAAAGTACTACCACTCTTTACCCGGTGAGTACACCTCGAGGGCAAATATGGCCTGGTACCCAAATGAGTCTGACCGGGGAAAACTCCCTTGCTAGAGTTGAGCTCCCTTAATGCTAGCTCTGCCTGATGCTGGTGTCCTGCATGAAAGAACCATCTACCAACACTTCCGTCAATTTTCGACCCATTCCTAAAGGTGATGTGAATGTCGAAAAAGCGCAAAAACCAGTCTAACCACGCTCAGCAGCATTTCTTTGTGTTTTTTGACGAGGGAAAATACAAACCTGTGCGATATGATTGTATGTGCTTCTTCATAGAAAAACGTACTTTTCGCTCCCCTTACTAACTTCAAAGGATGCGTTTAGACCCAGATGAATTTTAATCAGCCTTAGCCTGAGTTTCGCCAGAAAAAATCTTTCCCGAAAATTTTTCACCCGCCCATAGTAAGTACATGGAAAACAAAGTTAAATGTGAACCGGTTCCGGGAAAATGAAACTCATGATAAGACTGAATATTTGCGTATATACTGAGAGGGTTTATTTTTTAAATGAGAAATCGCCAAAGTAAAATATCATGACGGCATTTGTCTTTGTTTTTCATTCCATACCTAACACTAAAAATCGCATTAAACATTTTAACACTATCTAAATTTGCAGTTAATATTTTGAGCAAAAGTAAAAAGTAAAATACTGCAAAATTCAACATTTTCAGTAAAAATGGCATTTTAAAAAATGCCATACATTGCTATGTCTTGTTAACTTAGGTGTTAAGGCAATGTCATTCCATCTCAAACATACTCTTTTAGCATGTCATTGCACATAGTTAAGCTGTTGTTCGCTAGAATTTTAATTAGACAAGTATTTAATGAATTTTACTATATTAAGAGCTTGAAAAATTTTCAAATGCAGGTAATTACATGTGTTGCTTGTGTTGACATGCATATATTTTATTCGACACATTTATGAGCGACATAGTATGAACTTGCACTTGCATGATGTGGCACATGTCGCTATGTTTTATAGCTCAACATTTGCATGCTTTAAGTAAAAAGCTAAAAAAAGGTAAATAGTTTTAGGAACAAGCTATTAAATAAACTACAAGATTAAACCCATATAAAAAGTTAAATTTTGCCGTAAAAGGGTTAAATGGCAACTCTGATTGGTAGCGAGAAAAAATAACACAGCGACAGTGGGAGCTGTGGAAATAGCCAAAGCAAATAGAAAAATTGTGTTAAGAATCAGTTGGGGGAAGAAATTAAGTGACGCGTCGTCATACATAACCAACAAAAACAAATAACAATACCCAGCCGTAGCGCGCTGAATTCGAGTTTTGGCGTTGTTGCTGTGGCGAATGAGCGCATATGTACAGCAGCGCAGTTGTGGTGATGACGGCGGTGTTGGTAGTAGCGGCTTTATTGTTGTTCCTTTTATTTGCTGTTCACTTGGTTGGCCTTTGTTGTTGCTATCGCGCTGCTTTTTTCTTTTGGACTGTTTGCTGCCGCGGCGGTCGTCTGCTAATTATAATGGTGGTTGCTGCTGTTGCTTTGACTCCGGTAATGTGTGTTCTCACTATGAATTTGGTAAGAATTGTGTGTTTGTGTTACACAGTGTTACGTTTAAATTTTGACTTCGCCCTTTGACGGCTTCAAGTTGGTAGACAAGCCATGGTCCATGGTGCACCGCACATGTGCATTATCAAACTATGGTAGACTGAGGGGGGAATTAAAAAATCAGCGGTATGCGGTAGAGAATGAAGCAGGTGCGTTGTTTAACTTTACATATACAGGTGGAAGAATTCAAACACATGGTGAGTTTGTTTAGGCTGTACACAATTAGTCCAATAAAATATTAATACGAACCACAAAAACGGTAGTCATTTCACAATAATGAAAGCGTCAATTTAAAAATAAAAGCTTCTTCGATAGATAAACCAAAAACACTAATTATAATTACAAATTTAACAAATTGTTTTGGGATGTGGGTTCAACTAATTAGAAACGTAATTCAAAAGGATATTGTTTGCAAATTATGTTTATTTTTTATATTTAATAATTTTCATTTCAAATATAATTCAATCTGTAACAGAAAGCGCATTAATAAAATGTTCAAAACTTGCAAAAAAATTAATCAAACTTTAAAAAATTGTCATCAAAATTTCCTAATTTTTAATCAGAATATTTAGAAATTGTGCGGGTATGCAGTACGTCTCAAGTCGTTAAAAACTACCGTTGATTTTTGAGACTTGACTCTTGAGACTTACACTTTCTTAGAATACAATTGAATGGGCTACAGAACTGCATACCCGAACATTTTCTAAGTAAATATGTATTCTGATTAAAAATTTGGAAATTTTGTTGACAATTTTTAGAGGTTTGATTAATTTTATTTTTGCAAGCTTTGAAATTTTTATTATTGCGCTTTCTGTTACAGATTGAATTATATTTTAAGTGAAAATTATTAAAAATAAAAAAATTAACATAATTTGCAAACAATATCGCTTTGAATTTCGTTTCTAATTAGTTGAGCGCAGGTGTACATGCTTTCTTTTAATCTGAAAAATTATCTAGTCGTCATAAAGTCATGTCATTGTTGTAATAGCATACAAATTCCCCAAAAAGTTTTTGGTGAGCGTTGCTGGATGGACACTCCTTCGCTAGATATAAACCTGGTTCGTTCCGATTACATAGACTAGACTGTCGTAGGAGCGAGTATAAAATCATGTACATATTGTGAGTATAACGAAAGATATTTTCTTAAAACAAAGTGTGGAGCTATGTTGCTTTATTTTTTTGTTATCCGCTTCCAAAGTTATTGTGTAATTAATATTTAATCATTCTGAATTTATAAAAGACTATAAATATTAAATAAAACAAACTTTAATTTTAATTTTGTCATCGCTGACAATTCACAGCTAACCATCATAATTTCACTTGTTGGTCCTTAATATTCTACACATGGCTGTACTTTTATATTTTTTGCCTTAATAATGGTGCCAATCCTTCACGAACTCTTGCTTAAACAAAATAATAGAATCGTTAAAGTCTTGTTACGAAAAATTTCCATACATTATAATGCGTCCCGGTAGGCGTTCAATGTATGTATCTCAATTAAATATTATTTAGTTTAGCACCAAGAAAATGCCTTATTTCAAATTTCCAGTTCCTACTCTGCGTCACACATTTTTCCATATGCTCAGCAACAGCTGTTTACCCAACAATTTTAGTGCTTGCGGAGGAGAGCTTCAAAACCAGCTAACTATGTAGTAGCTACCCAGACGACTTGCACATTGGGTGCTGGCAAAAGTGCGGTACGTGGGGCGCACCGAGAGCACGCGCTGATATTGATGATACACCTCAACGTAAAGTGGCGCCGTTGTTGAGTTGATAAGCGGCGTTTGCACATTTATATGTATTATCTTATTCATTTTATTTGTTGCTAAGTATTAGATTTACGTTTTTCTATACCACTGTTGGAAGAAGCGCAATTTGTGTGCTGGAAATTTGCAAAGCAAAAACAAAAAGGCTAACATAAACGTTTCAATGACATGTACAATATCAGTTTGATTTCATTGGGCTTTTTTTGCGCATGCAATTGAGGCGTTGCATTGTACTTTGCCGCCGTCGCCTAGCGATTATTTGTCTACAATGATAAAAAGTAATTTTACGGCACTAATATCAACAACAACAAAAGGCGCAATACCGCTGGTCATATTTTTATTTAACTTTTTCTTTTTTTTGTTGACTCGATCGCCTCAACGCGTGGTCAGCGACCGTTTCAAAATTCATTTTTGTTGAGCGCCGATGTTGTTGTTTGTGTTGTAACAGCTTACAGATTCCCCAAAGTTTTTGGGGAGTGTTGCTGGAGTGACAGTCCTTGGCCAGATACCTGGGTCGTTCCAGTTACGTAGACCCGACTGTCTTGGGAACGCCAGCGTCATATTCGCCAGCGTATTGCACTGCACTGTCTAGCCTTTGCACTATACGATATTTTCATTGTTATTTGCTGCGCTGTGACCGGAAATTCGACTTGAGTAGGTACTCTGCCTGCCTCTGCGTTGCGCACATCCTCCTC